ATTGGGATGTGATGGGGACGTGGTGGGGACACAGGGAGAAAACAGTGTGGACATGATGGGAACACAATAGGGACATGATGGGAACACAATTGGGACATAATTGGGATGTGATGGGGATGTGGTGGGGACACGGAGAAAACAGTGGGGTGGTGACAAAATACAGACACAGTGGGGACATGGTAGGGAAATGATGGGGACATGGTGGGGACACAGTGTGGACACAATGGGGACATGACAGGAACACAGGAGTGACATGGTGGGGACATGGTGGGGACACAATAAGGAAATAATGTGAAAAAGGTGGGAACATGGTGAGGACACAATGGGGACATGATGGGAACACAGTGTGGGACATGGTAGTGACACGGTGGGGCCATGGTGGGGACACAATGAGAACACTGTGGAGATGTGGTGGGGACATGGAAGGGACATGATGGGGACACAGTGGGGACGTGATGGGGACACAATGGGGAGACAATGGAGACATGATGGGGACACAGTGGGGACACAATGAAGATGTGAGGGGGACACAATGGGGAGAAAATGGAAATATGATGGGGACACAATGGGGACACAATGAAGATGTGATGAGGACACAGTGGGGACATGATGGGGACACAATAAGGACACGATGGAGACATGATGGGGATACAGTGGGGACACAAAGAGGATGTGATGGGCACACAGTGGGGACACAGTGGGGACATGATGGGGACACAATAAGGACAAGATGGAGACATGATGGGGACACAGTGGGGACACAGCGGGGACACAATGGGGATGTGATGGGCACACAGTGGGGACACAGTGGGGACACAGTAGGGACATGGTGGGGACACAATGGGGAGAAAATGGGGACGTGATGGGGTCACAATAAGGACATGATGGAGACATGATGGGCACACAATGGGGACACAGCGGGGACACAATGGGGATGTGATGGGAACACAGTGTGGACACAGTGGGGACACAGTAGGAACATGGTGGGGACACAATGGGGAGAAAATGGAAATACGATGGGGACACAGTGGAGACACAATGGGGACACAATGGGGATGTGATGGGGACACAGTGTGGATACAGTGGGGACGTGATGGGGACACAATAAGGGCATGATGGAGACATGATGGGGACACAGTGGGGACACAGTGGGGACACAATGGGGATGTGATGGGAACACAGAGTGGATACAGTGGGGACGTGATGGGGACACAACGCGGACACTGGGGACATGGTAGGGACATGATGAGGACACACTGGGGGCACAACGGGGACACGGTGGGAGCACAGTGGGGACACAATGGGGACACGGCGGGGACACGGGGCTGCGACCCCTTTGCACCTACTCCAGCTCCTGGCCCTATTCAAATCCCCAATAAATATGCATCCGACGGGGAAACAAACAGCATCAGCACACGGGGGATTTCTTATCGCGGCGGCGATGCGATGAATGCAATTATAGCTCCGAGTCGCTGCCGCCCTGCGCTGCTCTGCTGCTTATCCCTGCGCAGCATCTGCCTCCCCGCTCCCCGGCTCTGATTGCTTTCTTTCCCCTCCTTTTCCCTCTGATTATCTTTCCCTTCGCTCCGTCCCCACCTCTGGCATCGCCCGTTTCCTTCCGCTTTCGCATCTTTAGGTGGTTTAGGTTTTTAATTACCCCTGGATTCGTTCTCGTCACGGCGTCCCATTGGGCTGGGAAAGTCGTTGGAAGGACGGGGTGCTGGGTGCCACCTGCTGTGGTGTCATTCATCCCGTGGGGACACCGAGGTGCCCGGGGTGAGGGGGACATCCCTCATCACGGGGCAAAGCAATGGCGTTCATGCGGGGCGATGCGATGGCATTTACGTAGGGGCAAAGCAACTGCACTCAAGTGAGTGCAGAGAAATTGCACTCAGGGCAAAGAAATCACGCATAGGTGAGGTGAAGGAATTGCATTTGTATAGAGGACAAGAAATTGCGCTAATCCAGTGCAGTGCCATCGCAGTCCTATGGGGCAGAGCGATTGGGGTGACGTTGTGGGGGCAGCTGCAATGTGCCCCCACTTTGGGGCTCTGCAAAAGCTTTCCCTTCTGCAAAACCCATCTGCAGAGCGGCTGCTGCTGCCCCCCTGGGTGGGGGGAGTGGCGAGGAGGGGGAGGTTGGAGCTGAGACAAATCAAGAGTTCAAATGTTGAAACGATTAAAAATAAAACACAATAAAAGAAATGGGAAGCGGGGGAGATAAGGCGCGGGCGCCCTCGCCGCCTATTTAACATTCATTGGATTGAATAATCAGCCCTCATTATCTCAAATTGGCTGCATATTTGCCCTCAAAATGCTAATTTGAAAGTTGGCTGCGAGCGCCGTCTGCCTATTTTGACTAAAATATGATTTTGCTTTATTTGTGCATTGTTTGTAGCTCCGGGGGCATTTCCAGTTTCAAAGTGAAAAAGGAAAGGGGAGAGAGGGGGGGGGGAGGGAAAAAACAACCCAAAGCCATCAAAGGTTGGGAGGGAGGGACCCGGAACGGCATTGCCAGGGCTGTGGGGAGGATTGGAGGCGTTATCAGGCTTTGGAGTGGGGATGGACCCTTTATCGTTCATCTCGGGGTGGAAATGGGAGGCATAGCGTTGTTTTACGGTGGTGATGTCCCATCGACCTTCGTGGAGATGCTGCTGTGTCCCCATCCCCGCTGCGCTTGAAGCAAATGGGGTTTCTCCGCCAGGCCGTGACCCCAAAAACGAGGCCAAAATCCCACGTTGAACCCCAAATCCCACATCAGTCCCCGTACGGAACCCAAAACGTTCCCTCCTTTTTCCCTCGGGACGCCGCCGTCTCATCGCACGACCAGCAGCGATCCCATCCCATGATTATCCTTCCTAAAAGTCAATCAATAGATCATAAAGCAGGGAATCATGGCCAGAGTTAACCCCCCCCCCCCCCATTCACGGCCGAGGATTTAGGGTTATTGAAGGGCAATTGCTTCGCCGTCCCTTCAATCCGCGGTTAGCGATGCCGCCGTCGGCCCGCTGGCTTACCCACAATGCCCCCAAATGCCACGTTTCTCATGCAGCCCCCAGCGCTGCCCCCAAAGCTGTTTGCACAGCAAACTGCAATTGTAGGGGAGATTAACGGGGCCGGGGTTCGGCCGCCCTTCATTGACAAAAGGAGGAGGCAATCCGCTGCCATCAATTCCGCCGGCGGCTCCGGGTTTGGCAATGACACTGCTTTTGACATTCCCAACCGCGGGGATGGATGGGGGTGGGGGTCCCCCCTCTTTTCTCCTTTTGGGACCCCGAATGGCAGAGCTGCACCACTTTCCCATAAGGAATAAAGAAGTGGAATCTTCAGGGAGGGAAGATTGAGGTTGGATGTGAGGGGGAAGTTCTTGACAGAGAGAGTGGTGAGGTGCTGGAACAGCTGCCAGAGAGGCTGTGATGCCCCGTCCATCCCTGGAGGTGTTCAAGGCCAGGTTGTTTGGGGCCCTGGGCAGCCTGGGCTGCTATGAAAGGTGGAGGTTGGTGGCCCTGCATGTGGCAGGGGGTTGGAGCTTGGTGATCCTTGAGGTCCCTTCCAACCCTGGCCATTCTGTGAAATCCCTGTCTCTTGCACCATGTGTAACCCTGCTGCTTCATAGCCAAAAGCAAAACTCAGCCATCCCATGGGGGGTTGGAGCTTGATGAGCCTTGGGTTCCCCTCCAACCCAAGCCATTCTATGATTAATACCTGTCTAGTATGAAAGATGGAGGTTGGTGGCCCTGCATGTGGCAGGGGAGTTGGAGCTTCATGATCCCTGAGGTCCCTTCCAAGCCTGGCCATTCTGTGATTCATAGCCCCAAGCTGGTGCCACCCATTGGGTGATGTGTCCTTGATGAGCTGATTGATGGGTTTTGGAGCTGCTTGCAGCCTAGATGCTGTCCCAGTTGGTGTTGGGTTAAATTCAAGCAGCGCTGGGACAGCCAACATGTGGGACACTTGGCCAACATCCCCACATTGATTCATGTGGCTTTGCTGGAGCCTCACGCTTTGGGTGGAGTTTGGGGACAGATCCCAGATCATCTTGGGGTGGAAAATGGGAGGAATAACGTTGTTTTACAGTGGTGAGGTCCCATCGACCTTCCTGGAGATGCTGCTGTGTCCCCATCCCCGCTGCACTTGAAGCAAATGGGGGTCAGAGCCCCATTTGTGTTCCTGGCAACCCTTGGGGGGCAGCATCTCTGGGGCAGCAACACTTTTTTGGTTCTACCCCCCCCTTGTGTGTGGGGAGGACACATCCTTGGGTGTCTCCTGGGGATGCTCCTCAGCCATTTGGTGCCACCTGGAAGCTCAGCCAAGCTGTGCACGGCCGATAGCAGCACCCACCACCGGGACCCTTCTACCCGTGTCGGAGCAACCACACAGGACGTCCCATCCCGGTGTTTTTCAGCCCGAAGTGTCCCATTCCAGGCTGTTCCATCGCAGTGTATCCCAGCCCCCGTGTGTCCCCTCCCCGGCCGTCCCCCCCTCCCGTGTCACTGCGCGGTCTGGCAGTGGCCTCTGGCGGACAGAGGGGGAAACAGCCGCGACCCGACAGGAATGGGATCAGCCCTAATGGGAACCTCTGCCAACCGCTAAATGGGCTCCCCAATAACCGGGATGTTCATTAAGCGGGACCCCCCCTCCCCCCCCCCCACTAATTGGGATGCTCATTAACTGCAGTATGCACTGACCGGGTTCCTTGCTAACTGAGTTGCTCACTAACCCCTCTCACTGGGATGCTCATCAGTGGGGTTACTCGTTAACTGGAACACCCACTAAACTGGGACCCCACTGATTGGGATGCCCATATTGTGACTCCACTAACTGGGACCATTCTCACTGAGATGCTTATTAACCAGCTTCCCTCCTAACCAGGATGCTCATTAAGTGAGATGCTCGTTAACTGGGATCCCTCCTAACTGGGATTCCTATTAACTGGGACCCCAACTATTTGGCTACCCTCTAACTGAGACATTCACTAACTGGGATCCCTACTAACTGGGATTCCCACTAAGTGGGATTCCAGTTAATCCCACTATTTGGCTTCCCTCTAACTGGGACAGTCGTTAACTGGGATCCTAATTAACTGGGATCCAATTAACCAGCATCAATCAGATCGGGAGCCTGCTAACTGAGATGCTTCCTAACTGGGACCCCGATAAACAGGAAGCCACAAAGCTGGGGATCTCCAGTAACTGGGATCCCCACTTACAGCCTGTTAACTGGGATTCCTGCTAACTGGGATCCTCGGCTGAGATCCTATAGGCTGGGATTGGTGTTAATAACAGGGATGGAGCTGAGATCTCTACAGACCCCAGTGCTCTGACTGGGATGCTCATCAACAGGAGTCCCCACTCAATGGGATCTGGCCAACCGGGATGCTCATCAACTGGAAAGCCCACAGCCAGTGTTGCCCTCTAACTGGGATGCCCACTAACTGGGATGCCCACTAACCTTTCCTGGGCCACGAACCCCACAAGACATCTCTAAAAAGCCATGAAATAGAAGCTGACTGAAACACTGATGGGAAATAACCCCCAGCTTTTGCACCTGCCAGCAGCACGGGGCAGACGCTCCTCCGCCACTTGATGGCAGTGGGCATCCAAGCAACTCGGTTTCACTCGATAATTTCAGCTGAATTGGTTCCAAGCGCTGTTTTTCCCCCCTCAGAAAAAAAAATGGGGGTGCCCTCAGGTTCCCAGTACAGCGATGGATTGGGAACCATGGGGATGCGAAGGGATTTATGTGTGCAGAGTGAAGGACGCCGCGGGACAGGGATGGACACAAGGACAGGGGTGGTGTCCCCTGCACACGGGGTGACATTGGGAGCCCCGTTCCTGGCATGCAGACATGCAATCCACACGGCAACCAGACAGCCCGGGCTGAGCTTAATGAGCAGCATTGTTATTAATTAGCTCAGGAGCTTCCTCCTCAGCCAGCAGAGCCTTGGGGCTGGGGATTACCGAGGAGCCATCGAGGTGCCATCCCGAATCTCAGCTCACAGTTCCTGGGCCGGGTCCTCATTGCATCACATCAGTCCTCACCCGCAGCATCACCTCTCCAAAAATCCTAAATTCCAACCCCCACCCAACGGGGTTTCCTTCCCACCCGTCCCATTGAGCACCGCTGTCCCCACTTTTTTGGTCCCAACCCCGGATGCCATCAGCCCAAAAAGCAAAGAGAAACATCGGGGGGAAGGAAGGGGGGGTCCAGGGGGGCCTGGGGTGTTTGCTGAGTGCCATCACACAGCTCTGCGAGGACAGAGAGGAAAAAGGGCATAAAAAAAAAAAAGGAAAGCACCTCCCACCCAAACACGAAGGAGCCTCCTGCCTTTTTATCTCGGCCCTTTCAAGGCCGTCATTAGGAACTAATAATGGCAAATCTGCCCTTTCATCTCTGCCCCCCCCCCACTCCCCCCCAAGGGCCTTTATTTGCCCTCGGTTGTGTGGGGTGCCGTCCATGGGACAAGCTTCTTTTGCTATGAAACACACGGAGCCATCGCCCACCCATCCCCACGCACAACCGTTTTCCCCATTCCCATTGCCGTGCCCAAGGCAGGGGATAAATAACTCCATCGGGAAAGCCAAGCAGGGGGGGTGGGGGGCTCAAATAGCACCTGTAGGGCCCCCCGGCCCCCCCCCCCCCCCCCCCCCCGCGCCCCATTTCCTCCCCCATAAAGCGCAGAGCCCGGTTGCTGTCCTTTGACCGGGCCGTGCTCCCCGCCGCGCTGGGCCGAGGTGTGACTTTTCCCAGCTCATTAGGAAAAGCCGTTCGGTTTTAAGCATCTCAACCCTTAATGACCATCTGAATCCCATCAGCAGGG